CGAGGCCGTGTTGCTGCCGTGTGTTCCTTTTGCCGTGCATGTGTGTGCGAGGAAGAAGGAAGGAGGAGAGATCTGTCTAGATTAGATTGGATTGGTTTCTGTTTGGTGGCCAACGTAGAAAAGAAAAAGGAAGGGAGGGATTTGTCTCTGTTTTCACATGGAGCCTTTCCATAGATCGGGAATCAATCTCCACCCGTGACCGAGATCTCCAGCCACAGTTTCCTCTCGGCATTGGTGAGTCCGACTCCCTCCATCCCCTCTCCTCACGGTATAGATAGCTTGGTGAAAAATTTTCGTGTATCGGATTGGAGATCCGTCTGCAAAAACGGAACCTACGGGACGAGAGCATTACATTTTTATATAGTTTTAATTTTGAGTTTGGACATTTACAGTTGAGTCCTTGTATTTTTTTTATATTTACATTTGAGTCCCTGTAAACTTGCTTTATAGTCCTTGAGGTTGTTTTTGTTAGAAAAATCCAAAAAAAAAAGGCAGAAAGGTGCATAAAAAAAGAAAAGAAAAGCCGCACCAAAAAAAGGAAAAGAGAAAAATCAGTTGTATCTTTGAATTTTCTTTCATATATCAGAGTTGTGCATAAGTTGTTCCTAGTGCTATCTTGTGGTACCGTTTGTGTCTAGACTCGTGTCTCTAGTACGATCTAGCCTAGGACCAGCATGGTACTTGACTTTGAACCATTATTCAACTTTGCATTCTCTGATTTGAACCATTGCTTTCCTTTGCTACATATTTAAGCCTACCCAGAGCTCCACAAATTTGATTGCAGCCGTACAACAAGTGTTTGCCGAGGCATCGATACATCCAACCTCTATTGGGGTGCTTGGTTGAGTCACCATTCCACCTGCATTGGTAAGATCTTGTAAGAGCTTGGTTAAAAGCTTGAGTGTGTGTGAGATTTGAGCTGCCACTACCTAGTATTTGATAGGAGCGTGTATATTCTTGTATATGTTTCTTGTTTGCTGCTAACCATGGCAGGATTGCGCAAGGGGAAACAAGATGGTCATGCTCAACGTCAACATCTTCACCATCAACGAGATATAGCGACTTCTTCACGCATCACATATGAGGTACATGATAATGATCTTACAAGGGTAGAATCTAAATTGCCTAGTTTTGATGGTAAGTATGATTCCGCCGCTTATGTTAATTGGGAGCTAGCAGTAGAAAAACAATTTGATGAATATGATTTTTCTAATGCTCAAATGATTAAGGCTGCTAGTAATAAGTGTACCGGTTCTGCATCTTTTTGGTGGCATACTGTGGGAAATAAGCTTGAAACTTGGGATGAATGCAAAATACTGATGAGAAAAAGATTTGTGTTTTCATACTATAGACGTGCTCTCCTTGAGAAATTTGAACATCTAAAACAAGGTGACAAAACTGTTAGGGAGTACTTTCATGATTTTAAAATATGTATCACTTATAGTGATTTACAAGAATCTAATGAGAACACAATGACTAGATTTTTCAGAGGGCTTAATTCCAATATTCAGGCTGGGCTTGTTAATGTGACATATAATCATATAGGCCAATTGTTCATGCTTGCTTGCAATGTTGAGCACAAAATTTTGGAGAACCCAACGGAGCAACAAGCTATGCTTGTGCCTCCTATCACTGATGTTTTGCAGGAAGTTCAGAACAGTCCCCAAAATGAGAAGAACGATATGTTTGAGATGTCACTTCCTTCACTCGCGAATGAGGAGAAGGCTGATGCACCTACATTATCTGAAGAAGGCATAAAAGGTAAATTAAATGGTGCAGAAATTACTCAAGGTGAGTATGCTTCTGATGAATTACATTTTTCCACTTTCCATGCTGACCTAGAGCAAACTTTAGTGGAACCTACTTCTGAATTGCCTTTGTCACAAGTTGATTTGCATTCTGTTCCTTGTGATAAAGAAGAGTTGTGCAATAGTACTTCACTTATATCCATTCTACAACTAGTGAATGAACATGCTTCTTTTAATCTTGATTCTCCATGTACTGAATTTAAGTATGTTATTCACACGTCCGGCGAGAATGATGAACTTCAATTGCAATCTTCTTTAAATACATTGGGGTATTTTATGTTTGATGGTTCTTGTGAGCTCAATTGTTTGAAGGACAAAATATTTGCTCATTCTGATTTGCCATGTCCTCGTAATGTTATATTTCACATCTTTGGCGATTATAATGATCTTGGAATATATTTTGTGCATAGAGTTTACATCTGCTCAGATTTAGAACTTCCTGTACATGTGGATAAAACATGCAAGCTAGAGAAAAATGTTCTTGCTAACCAAATTGTCTCGAGTTTGCCTTGTTTTGATTGGAAGAAACAGGTTGTTGTAAATGGACTACGCAAAGAGCACCATATGGAAAAACCGAGGACGGTTTTCCATGATGAAGGGGAGGATGATGTGACCATGGCTACCACGGATGCAACCATTGCTCACATCATGGATGAACAAGAAGATATCGAGATCAAGTACTCCAAGTGCTGGAATCCGATTCGGCCACCTATTACACTGCTGACTTCAAACGGCCACCGAATCTACATACGACCTCCGTTTTCGGCCCGTGAGTACTTGATGGAAAGCTCTCGGAGCCCTCTTTCTAACAGATCCAGCCTCTTCTCTGAATTCCATCTCGTGTGGCCGGAATCACAAGAACAAGGTGCTGCGTCACCTATAATGGGCCTATGGGCTTGTAACTTCATTTGGGACCCCGGCTCAGGTGGGGCCCATGTGGGGTGCGCCCCAAGCTGGTGGAGCATGACCCTAGGCACCCATAGGTCATCCTCCCACCCCTATATATAGCTAGTTACCCCTTCAGGGTTTCTGGGGTTTTGATAGATTAAAGTTTAGCCATTGCTACTTGCTTGCAGCGCGCGTGTCGGCTAGACCGTCCGTCTGCTTGTTCTTCGGAACCCCAACTTATCATTTGTATTAAATTCCTATTTGTAATATTAGATTGCTTTTATCTTGTTCTTGCTTGTTTCTTCGATTTGCTTGCAAGAATAGGGTTGATCTGCACCGGTAAGATCAACAACCCACGGAGAGGTGTATCGATCGCTAAGGCGCAACACAACGTCTCGTACGGTTGTAGTCGGATCGTCAACGTTTCTCCCAAATCGTAGTTATCACAACTCAACGAAAGATCGGGCCAACAACAGCCTTGAGTGTAGAGAGGAACTCAGGGTTCATCAAAACAGGTTGATGAAAACCTCTAAGAGATGGTAGATATGCTATATAATCTAGATTAACAACGATATCTAACCCTATCGGTTGCGTTCCATTAATAGATGTTGGCCGGTTTAGGGTTGGATTATGATACTAATAAAGATTATGAAGCATATAAGATAACTCGACGATTTACATAACCAATGAAGCATAAAGATGTAAGCACTAATCCCGAGAATGCAAGCCGTCATAATAAGTTTTACCTCTTGTTGAAGATCGAAATCGATGCAGCTCAACCTGAAAGTAAGAACTCATCGAAACAATGAAAGTAGAAAAAGGTGGCGATGCGCCGAAAGTGTTATTGAACTGTCGTTAGATGTTTACATGGGATCGGGTTATATTTATACCCGATATACATGACAGGTCCTTGTAGGGCACGACTCTTATCTCTAACAAACTCTAATATACGAACAAGTTTTCATGGCAGACTCTTGCGGAACATATCTGTAAAGAAACTATTTAAAATATCCTAATTAATAGATACAATTGCCTATCCGTGAGCTTATCTCAATCATGGCAATCCTTGCATAGCATGTTGATCAATCCCGGAGACAATTATATAACCATCTTAACGAAATCGGCTACATCGGATGTCTTCTGTCTGATCTATGTCAGCCGATGCAGTCTTTAGCCGATGTCCTCGTAGCCGATGTGCACTCTATTTTCAGAAGACAAATCCGTATCAAATCCTCTTCGATCCCGATACGAATCTAGTTCATGGCTTACCAAATTTGGTCGTTAACAATATGCTTGCATGTTGATTTGTAGAATTAAATAGATTGTAGATGCTCTTGCATGCTTGCATGAGGTTGAATATGTAATTATTGTTAGTAGATGATGATGTTGAAGTATAGATTAGAAAGAGAATAGCATAGAACGGTGACACACCAAGGTGGTCACTAAGGGGTGTTAAGCGACCCGGCTGATTATTCCTGCAAGTGAAAAAGAAACGGCTAACACTAAACTAGACGCTCATAAAAGAGTAAGCGAGGAGAAGAAGAACATGAAAAGCTAGGTGTCAAACAAAGCTCCCACAGGGCTGGCTGTGGCCTCTGGGCTCTGGCCAAAACTGTCCTTTCTACGCACAATCTGTTCGACCACCATAGGGCCGCGACCATGGTTAGAAATTTCGTTTCAAAATTTTGGTAATTCGACCCCCACCGACAAACACAAATCTCTTTGAAATTTTTGGTTTTTTATCAAATATTTTTAATTTGATCAAAATTTATTCAAATTCAGTCAAAATATGTTAAAAGTTCAAATAATTTCGGTTAAAAAAAACCCTGAAAATCATAAAATTTTCAATTTTTTGGCAACCACCGAAGCATTGGAAATTTCTGTAGCAACCGAAATTGTAAACCCTGGCTGCGACAGGTTTAACAACTTAATTGTTCCAATTAGAGGAGTCAATGGTAGTACTCCGTCCGTCCCATTTTAAGTACAACCATAAGTTTCTGCGCTCTCTCAATTTTGATCGTCCGCCTTATCTAAAATTTTTTTATAATTAGTATTTTTTGTTGTTATGAGATGATAAAACATGAATAGTACTTTGCTCATTACTTATGTTTTTAATTTTTTTTTAAAATAAATTTTAAATAAGACGGACGATCAAAGTTAGACGCGGAAAACAATAACTACACTTAAAATGGGATGGAGGGAGTAAGTTGGTATGTCAAGAACGACGGCTTTGCCATCTGGTGTGGCATCGTTGTCATCGAGATGTCGGTCGTCCAGCCGGCTGGTTCACTTGGAGAGCTGGGAATAGATAGGTTTTGGTGCTACGGTTGTTTCGATGTGTAAAACATCAGGAGCCACTGTCTCATCAGCTTGATTATGATCCTTTTGATTGATTATACGGTTTCTCCGTTTCTTCAGTCAACCACTGTTATCCTCATTGGGCTTCCCACTAGAAACCTCACTACAAAGGTCATGATTTCACACAATCTGTCTTCCTACTTAGAAACACAACCTTTCTATGTGGCAGATAATAGTCTCTCTAGGATGAAATTTGCACATCTATAATACATAAGAATATTATTTCTTGGATCTTTAGGTCATCCATCGACAATGAAAGGGTTAAACTTAACCGCATGCAAATCAAATATAATTAATAATAATCCAAAACATGTAAGATTTCAGTTTCACATTACTCATGAATACATTGTTTATCTTTCGGTGTAATTTTGTCAAAACTTTTGGAATATTGACATGACCATGTGCGTAGAGACCACCATAGTTGGAGTACTTGTAAGCGAAGAATATGCAGCGACCGTCGGTGGTGGAGATCGTCGGCTCGGCGGTCGTCGGCGAGGCCGTCGGCCGGATATGCTCGTACCTCATCAGCCGCGGTGAGGAGGAGGTGGCCGCCGGCGATGGAGCCGAGCATGACGAGGAGAGGATGGAGGTGGCGCTGCTCAGGATTCAGGCCGCCGTCGAGGAGGCCGACGGCTGGCACATCACCAACCGCCCGCTCGTGCGGTGGCGCGACAAGCTCAAGCGCGCCGCCGACGAGGGCGAGTGCGTCCTGCGGGAGTACAGGCGGCGGCGGCGGCGGCGCCTGTGTGTCGCCGATGATGATGCGCGCCGCCTTTGGTTTCCGAGGCGCGTTGCTCGGGCCGCCGGCAAGAAGCTCTTCGCCTTCGGCGGCGGAGACGAGCAGCGGCTGAGCGGCGGCACCGTGCGGCGGTTCGAGCGGCTGGCGGACGGCGTCGGCGACTTCGTGAAGCTCGTCGAGAGCGGCGGCCGCGCCAAGCGGTTTGTGCCGTTCCAGCCGGTCGCGGCGTCGCTGCTCGCGCGGAGAGCGGTGAGCTTCTCCGTCAAGCCGCCGGCGTCGCCGGGCGCCACGGCGCACGCGTTCGCGTTCCCGGACCTCACATCACCGTGGCGCCGCCCGCGCGCGCACGTCGTGTTCCTGTACGCGGACGGCGGCGGCACCGGCGAGAAGCTGGAGCTGTTCGTGGAGCTCGACCTCTCTGAGAGCGCTGACGTCATGGCGCTCGCTCTGTCCTCCATGGACGCGCTGCCGCCGCACTTCCGCTTCGCCTCCGCCGCCGCCTTCGGGAGCTTCCACCGCCTGCAGGCCATGACGCAGGACGACGGCGGCGGCGACCACCTCCCAGCGTGGGACGCGCACTACTGCAGCCAGCCGTCCCGGTACGAGCAGCCGGAGTGGATGGCCGCCGGATACGGCGACGAGCCGGCATCGGTGGCGGCGCTGCCGGAGCACGTCCTCTACGTGGTCGCCGAGTGGGACAGCCCGGCGAGGGACGCACCGCGCACGACGCCGCCGCCGCCGCCGCCCGTCCACGTGAGCTACCACCTCGGGCGGCAGGGCGCGGACTGGGCGGTGCGGCGGGAGGAGATGGCGAGGCGGATCATGGACGGCCGGTTCGGGACGCGCGCGCGGCGCGTCGAGAGGCACGTGGACGCCGGCGCGGAGACCTTCAACGGGGTGGTGATGTGCACGGTGGACGGCTTCCGCCGGCGAAGTGAGGCGGCGGTGGCGGTGGCGGGGCAGGTGGTGCGGTGGTGCTTCGTGTCCGGGTGGGTGGTGTACTTGTCCGTCCGGGGCGTCGGCGCCGGACAGCCGTACGAGGTAGGCTTCCAAGGATGATGATGCCATTGTTGTTGAATGTTGGTACTCATCCTCTCACAAATCTCATTATGAATTGAAATTAGGGATACAAGCGGATCGATCCGTGAGTTTAAATAAATAATAATTTATGGGTTTTCGCATCGTGGCCTAACTTGCTGCATCTAAATATACAAATGGATCGATCTATAAACCTATTTATAGTTAAATTCATAGTTAACCCGCTAGTTAAACCGGGGGGTTACGCACTATTTTTGTCTATAAGCGGGTTTGCAGGTAAACCCACTTGCACCCCTAATTGAAATCAAATATGTGCTTTGTGTACTCTTCGAAGAGAAAATTGCCTAAATTTTAAATATTGAGAGGGAGAGCTTGAAAAGCAATGAGCAAAGACAAAAGAGTCTCTTTGATCATCATGTCTTAGAGCAAAACAATGTATAAAGTGAAAGTAGGCATTAATATGGGCCCAGGTGGATACCACCATTTTATATGGACATCTTCACAGTGTATATTAAAAAAGTGGGCATTAAGGTGGACTCCATGTTCCCAATTACTACTACTCTCTGCCTCATCCTCATCCCCATCCCCATCCCGACTACCTCATCCCCATCTACTCCGACTCCGAGAGAGAGAGACCGCGAGAGGCGGCAGCGTGGCGGGGTGGCGGCGTCGGATTGGCGATGACGGCTGTTGATTCGGTGACGGAGTGACGGCGGCGGTGGTTGATCCGGTGACGGAGTGGTGGCTATGTGCGACCGCGCGCGCGGGCAAATCCGGTAGCGGTCCTAAGTGGATCTCCGGCGGCGTCGGCGATGGTCGACGGTGGATCCAGCGTCGGGGACGGTGGTCTCGAGCAGATCCGGCAGCCGTGTGAGCGAGCGGATCTGGCGGGAGTCGTGGGCAGATCTCCGACGGCGGTCACGGCCTCGCGGGTGGATCTCCAGCGACGGAGACGACAGTGGCGGGCGGCTCTCCGGCGACGGCCATGCAGGTGCTCCCCGTCCTCTTTCACTCTCCCATGGTGGGCTCGTTGCTGCTTCTCCTCTCCCATGGCGGTAACCAACTACTTTGGAGAGAGACAAAGCTAGAGCAAATAAGATCGGATTGTTTATTCCTTATGGGTGGTTCTTATGGGTGGTTCTTATGCATAATGCTACCTCAAGAAAAGGATAGCTATAAGAACCACCTCCACAATATATAAGTAGACCTATGAGCATAATACCCTCTCTTATTTTCACATTGTGAATGCCCTTATATGTAGAAAGGGAGTCGAAGGACGGAGCCAGAGAATTGTTAGCGACTCACCACGCGGAGAAATTTACTCGTGAAGGGAAAAAGGCAACCGCCCAATACCCGGATCAGGACTGACAATTTATATTGGAACCCCTTCTATTATTGCATGCTCCCTCTAAATAAAAAAATATTTACAAAGGCACCCCAATATGCTAGTCGATACGCATACAACCCGCATAGTTAGGGCTTGTTTAGCTCCCAAACAAAATTTTTCACGCCGTCACATTAAATATTCGGATACATGCATAGAGTATTAAATGTAAAAAAAAATTACACAGTTCACCAGAAAATTGTGAGACGAATCTTTTAAGCCTAGGTGGTGTTTGAAACTCTTGAAGATGACGATGAAGTAAAGATTAAGTGTTTTACGCAAAATGAGGTGGTAATAACATGTGATTCATTGAGTTTTAATTACAACAAACTTAAAAAATGATTAATCTTATATTTTAGAACAACTCTCATGTAAAGTTTTCGCACGAAATGCATAGTTTATCAGTTTGAAATGCGAGCCACTTTTATCTAAAAGTTTATCCAATTTTTATTGGAGAAAAGAACAGGGCCCAAATTGCGCTATGATTTGACAATGTGGTGCTACAGTAAACATTTGCTAATGATGGATTAATTAAGCTTAATAAATTCGTGTCTCAATTTTCGGATGGAATCTGTAATTTGTTTTGTTATTAGACTACGTTTGATATCCGTATATCCAATGTAACATACATGCATTTTTTTTGCCAACTAACAGGCCCTTAGTTGTCGCCGGTCCCTAAACTTGTACCGCCGTGTCATTCTGGTCCCTAAACTCACAAATCGACCGTTCAGTTCCTCAAACTTGTTCAACTATGTCATCCTGGTCCCTAAACTTGTAGATCACTCGTTTAGGTCCTTCAACTTGTTCAGTTGTGTTACCCCGGTCCCTAAACAGGACGGTATAAAAACTTTATATTAAAAAATAATTCATAACTTTTTTATGTGAATTCTAATGAAGACAAACTTTATATCAAAATTGTAGCCCTCGACGCGACCTACAACTTTGTAGTTGAAAAGTTTTTGAATTAAAACTGTTTAGGGTCTCGAAATATTGTTGCATGTTTATAGATTTTGAAATTTTAATTTTAAAATTACATTTTGGGATAAAAAATGACTTAAAATAAAAAAATTCAACTACAAAGTTGTAGATCGCGTCGAGGGCTACAAGTTTGATATAAAGTTTATCTTCGTTAGAGTTCACATGAAAAGTTATGAAGTCTCTAGACCGTCCTATTTGACCCAGATGATATTCAAATCCAAGTTTAGGGACCGTGGTGACACAACTGAACAAGTTGGAGGACCTAAACAAGTGATCTGCAAGTTTAGGGACCAGGATGATACAGTCGAACAAGTTTGAGGACCTGAACAGTCGATTTGCGAGTTTAGGAACCGGGATGACACAGCGGTACAAGTTTAGGGACCGGTGATGAACTTTACTCTTTTTCTATTTCGAATAGTGACCCAACTGTAGCACACAGCACCTTGCATGTTTGCCTCTGGAAGCGTGACGCCTGACCGGCCAAACTACCAGCCACAGGTCCATTATTACTACTTTGTACGCCTTTGTTTGTCTTGACAATAATCCAAAAATGCATGCTTGCAATCATCCTTTCGCTTATCTACATGCTTTTTTAAATCGCTCATTACTATATATATCAGTAAAGAATGTGGTCAAAAGCAAATACTATAAAACATTTGTACAGATCCTTCTATCTATAACGGCCTCTAACATACCTAGAAATAGCGGGCCATTACAGGGAAGTCATCTCAATCAAGCCGAAAAAGTGCCCGATTGAGATATGGTCGCACAGACATATTAGATGGGCATGAAACTTAAGCCCGTCACGGATGACACCTATCAGTGACGGGCCGTAGTTTAGGCCCGATTGAGATACATTCCATATCTCAAACGGGCTTGAAGTTGGGGCCCGTCACAGATGACCATCATCCGTGACGGGCACCAACTTTAGGCCCGACTGAGATAACATTCCATATCTCAAACGGGTCTTGAGTTGGGGCCTGTCACAGATGACAATCATCTGTGACGTGCACCAACTTGAGGCCCATCACAGATGACTCATCAGTGACGGGCTATATACTAATCCCCGGTTGACATGACTTAATCTCTATCGGGCATTAATTAAAGCCCGTCACCAATGAGTATTTTTCCATTTTTTATATGAAATGTTTATATTTGTAAGTTGAACTATAGCAAAATAATTAACTTGGAGTATAATAATGTATTTTATGAGTCAAAATAATTTTACGGGTAGTAAATGATATCAAATGGAAAAGTCATCAACAACAAAGTTGTATAACTCATCAAGATCTATAACTTCTATTTTGGTCATTTTTCTATATAACATTTTTTGAATAGTTTGACTTTTGAACTTGAAAATATGACAACTTCAAACAACAATTTCAAATACTAAATGATTTCAACTGAAAAAATTATCAACAACAAACTTAAATAACTCATCCAGATCTATAACTTTTATTTTGGTCATTTTTCTATATAACATTTTTTTGAACCGTTTGAATTTTGAATTTAAAAATAAGATAACTTCAAACAACATTTTCAAATGCTAAATGATTTCAACTGAAAAAGTTATCAACAACAAAGTTGAATAACTTATCAAGATTCTAGAACTTTTATTTTGGTCATTTCTTCATCTAATAAAATGTTAGTAACATTGTTTATAAATTTTACATATATGTGTATAGTTTATAAAACCAGATAAGAGATATGTCAATTTTGTGACAATGTTACTATCACTTTATTAGATGAATAAATGACCAAAATAAAAGTTATAGATCTTAATGAGTTATTCAACTTTGTTGTTGATAACTTTTTCAGTTGAAATCATTTAGCATTTGAAAATGTTGTTTGAAGTTGTCATATTTTCAAATTCAAATTCAAACGGTTCAAAAAATGTTATATAGCAATATGACCAAAATAAAAGTTATAGATCTTGATGAGTTATACAACTTTGTTGTTGATGACTTTTTCAGTTAAAGTCGTTCACTAACAAAAAAAAATTCTATTTGAATTTCTCAAACTTTGAATTTCAAATTTCAAATAGTTTAAATAGAGTCAGATGGAGAAATGACCAAAATAAAAATTTTGCACCTCGATGAGCTCTACAACTTTGGTTTCAGTAACTTTTCTATTTGAATTCATTTATCAACCCTAATTTTTCTTCGAAGTTATCAAATTTTGAAAATTCAAAATTTGAATTGTTCAAATGAACTTATTTGTACAAAGGACCGATACAATAGTTGTAGATCTCGATGAGTTATACAATTTTGTTGTTTATGATTTTTGATGGTTGTGTATGTGAATGAATGTATATGAAAGGGGGATGTTGGGGTGTGACATATCCCAGCCTAGGGCTTAAAAGGATTAATAGAATACTCATACCAACAAGTTACAACTACTCTTCCGGAAGCCGATCTCCAAAGAACTTTGATATTAAACGTGCTTGGCATAGAGCAATTTCGGGATGGGAGGAAGGACAAAAGAAAGATTGGCGTGAGAGAGGTGGGACGGCATGGCAAGGCTAGCCAAAAATAAAATTTATTTTTTAATTTATTTTTTTTTGGGATTATACTCATCTGTGACGGGCATTAACTTAGGCCCGATTGAGATGACTCATCTGTGACGGGCATTAACTTAGGCCCGATTGAGATGACTCATCTATGACTATGACGGGCTATAGTTAATGCCCGTCACAGATAAGGGTCATCTGTGACGGGCTATATTTTAGGCCCGATTAAGATAGATCATCCGTGACGGGCTATAGTTTGACATGTCGTCTGGGTCAAAGCTATCGGTGATGGGCTTTAATTAAGGCCCGATTGAGATAGGTTCATCCGTGACGGCCGTTTGTCCGATTGAGATAACTTTTCACATTAGTGACTTCTAGCCTGTGACGGACGCCGTGCCCAATTGAGATGGGGGTTGCCGCCCGATTGAGGTGATGGTATCCTTTCTAGTGAAATAAACTACGATAAAAAAGAAATAACTCCAAAATTAAATTTTAAAATTCAAAATTTTCTTCTAAGCATAATTGTAAGAGAAACAATTTGGCTCGGAGTTTGAATCGATTAGATATGTAAAACTAAGATTCAACTCCAAAATACCTTGTTGGTGTCCTTGACATTGTACAACTAAGACGGTGTTTGAAATTAATGAAAATAGAGAGGATACATGAATTGAGAAAGTCATTAGCGCATGATTAATTGTCTTTTAGTTATTACAAACTTGAAAAATAGGTTTATTTGCTATTTTAAAGAAACTTCTATTTAGAAATTTATTTTCTAGTTTTAATTAATTTTTTTTCATTTTTACAAACTCCGATAAAATGATTACTTAAAAATAAACTTATTTTATAACAAAAGGAAGGGGCTAGAATGAACTTATTACAGGACGGATAAAATAGAAATCACTATTTTTTCTATTTATTTTTCATTTAGTCTATAAGAACAAAGTCATGCTTAACTGATTATAGATAACCATTAAATTTGTTGAGGGGCGTTTTATGCATAATTTAGATCTGTTGGGTTCTACATTTTTAAACATCATCTATTACTGTTGCTTGATCTTTCTTTTTCCCATTTCATATATGCCTAAGGATTTTTAAATAAACAATACAACATTTATGTACCCCGAATTACACAGTATCCATGGGCTATGCAATCATCGTGCCAAAAGACACGCTTATTTCCAACTTCCAAGTATGCGCTAGTAGTAGTGCTTTGGTATGCGTTTTCCCTCTTTTTTTTCTATTTAATTAACTGTTCACCACAAGGCTGCATTAAAACATAGACAAATATACTGCATATAATAAAAAAAGACAAATATCAGATCTCCCTATATGACTGAGAACCATATTGGTTTCCCTGATAAGTCCAGACTAAAGTCAAAATTTAAATTTTTAAACTTAATTTTAAAGTTGATTTTAAGATATTTTTCAACGTAGTTTTTATTTCAGTATTGCTTCTAGTTCGCTAACAATACATGTATAAAAGTTTAAACTATAAATTAATTTCTATTTTTGATAAGCCGTTTTGACTTAGTAGAAAATATGTACAACTGATGAGAGCATTAATCTGTGTTCGACAGTGTGAGAAGGTGAAAAAAAATCTCGTTTTCTATACTGTACCCGAACTAATAAATGATGTGTTTTTTCAAAAGAAAAATCTATAGGAAATTTACTTCAAAAATTCATATTAATCCATTTTTTAATTTAAAATAAGTAATACTACTTAACCACATTATTTTGTGTATCTTACCATTGTTCTATTTTCTCATTTACTCAAACACACTCAAAGCGGTAGTTATTTTGGGATAAATTTTAAACCCAAAAGAGCAGTTTTTTTTTATTGTAAACAGAGGAGTAAATTTCACCTTTAGACATTTTTTTTTATCGCCGTTGTTTCTATTTGGATCACCTTTCAACCATTTTTTTCAGTGTTGTCCGGATAATACTACCTTTGTCGCATTTTGTACCATCCTCAACCGTTTTATCCATTTACATCTAAATTGTCATATATCAAAGAACGGACTACGACATACAGCTGAGGGAGTTTATTGACAAATAAGAACAAGAGTACTCGAGCTTGTTCATATGCATGCACCAAAAGAAAGTAACAAATGCAAGATTAGCCCAGTCCGAAGTGAAAACATTGGTCAAAGGTGATCAAAAGTGAAACATCGGTAATAAAATGTGGCCCAAAATAAAAATTTACTCAAAAGAACTTTATAGGAAAGTTATCTTAAAAAATATTAATCCATTTTTCAGGATTAAAAAAATTAACACTCATTAATCATATGCTAATGACTTATCTCATTTTTCGTATCTATCATTCTTCTCTTTTCTCCTTCACTCAAACACACCCTTAGGTTTAGTAGTTATTTTGGGACAAATTTTAAACCCAAATGAGCGATTATTTGGAGATGGAGAGAGTAATTAGAATGTGAAGTGGGCCCATAGGGCATCTATATAAGTAATTTTCTTATCTATTGTTACTAGGGTAAAAAATCAAGAGAAATATTAATTAATAAAATAAAAGGACTTAAACATAAAAGGTAGAGAGCTGAAATACAAAATCTACCAACGGTACATTAAGGTTATCGTGCATCGTGAAACATATGTGCTTCTATTGTGAATACCTCAAAGTGCATGATCTTCACAAGAATTTGATAAAAGTTGAGCTAATTCCTATAAAGTCTAGCAAAATATTTTCATTAATTGCCCTTGCCAATATATACAAGCCATACAGAGAACTCTAACCAGCACGTTTATTTTCCCGAAGAGCTAGCTCTTGCCTTCGCTAAGAATCGTTAATTATATGGAAGAATTGCTAAAAAGTGTTACACGTGAACGTTTACAACATTGGCCAAATAAAACATTCTGCATTTTAGCACAATAATATTTTTTACTTCTTGGCCCATTATACAGCAAAGTCATGTCTCTTTTGATATATTATTTTGAGCTTAGATTTTTTTTTCCAAGTTTCCGTTTATCTAAGTGAAATATGTTTGTCGGGAAATAAACATTTCCATTTTTTTCCAACTAGAAATATTGCAGATCTTTTTTCCAAATAAAAATATCACAGATACCACCGATTATTGTCGTTTGGTTCTTTTTATTCCATTTCATATATATTTAAGAAATCAAACTAATTCTAAATAACTCTACAACATTTATATATCTTAAACGAAAAATATAAATATTCACGGGTACTTTTAGTTGGTGAGCCAATGGCGCACCCATTTTCTAGTTTGTCTCGAAATTAAATACCGTGACCGTGTCAGGTTCCACATTATTCAACGTTCCTCATTACGTGTTGCTGTCTGAAATGTGAGAAGGACACACCTACCTAAGCTGACAGCAACTAGGGTGAAACGGATCAGATATTAAATAATATTCCATCTGATCCGATCCGAATCCGTCCGAAATAAGGATATGATATTGGTTTTTAAAAATCTGGCGGATATGGATGTGGATATGGATAGTATGATACAGATGCGGATGAGGATATGGTATATCCAAAATCCGGCGGATACGGATTATCCGACATTTTTATTGGATTATCCGATAGGTCCTTTACCGGATAATCCAAAATTATAAACACATATAACCACTCTATCTATTGCATATAACATAAGTTGGTCCATCCAATGGCCTAATTCATCTATTACCCGAGATTTCTTACTCTGAGGCTTTTACCGTTTCATGTCACACTTGTGTAGCTGTATTTTTTTATATTATGAACATCAACTATTCATGTTGTTTAGTACTTAAGCACGTAATTATTACAATGGGTCGTTTATTGACTATTGTATTATTGTCCCTTACATTGCTAACTCAATGTTGTATTAAATGTATACACACGTAACATCCGATAAATTTAATCCGTTTCTTAACCGATTCCGCACCGACTCTGCACCATTTCCGACATCCGAAACAATCCACTCCGCATCCTTATCCGTACACTATCCGCATCCGCTCCGAATCCGCTTAAAAAATATAGTTTAGGATATGGTATAACCACTGTCCGTCCGAATCCGCTCCGTTTTCACCGTTAGCAACACTATCCTGTACGATAAATACAATATACCTACCTGTGACCCACGTAATCAAGCCTGACGTTAGCACAATCGTATACCATAAATACAATTCGATGATATAATTAGCATGAGGACATAGAATTCTAATTAAACTCTTAATTAAACTTACGTTCGAGATGTTGCTTTCCCAAGCGATCAAGTGATCAAGAAAGCGCGCAAAGTGGATCAGTCCGAAGACAAAGTCCTCAAATCCATGATTCCATGCACAGTATGAAAATGATGTCAATCAAACATGAGTGGGGCCTGCTTTGCTTCTTCCTCTGCCAAAATATTATTTGCATTGCTTTTTCAATCTATAAATCCAGGGCTAATTTCAGGATCATTAATTAGTTACGGAGCCGAGATGGAAAAGGAAGCGAGCGCGATGGTTGCGAGGAGAAGCACCAGCCGCCATGATTGGAGGAGGTGGTGGTGGCGGCTGCTGCCTCTCGCCTGCTGCTTCGTTTGTTGGGTGGCCTCCACGGCGGTGACGGTGGCGGCGGCAGCCGGCGTCGCCGTGACGAGCCTTCCTGGTTTCGACGGCCCACTGCCCTTCTCCCTGGAGACCGGGTATGTATACTGTATGCAATGAATGACTGTTCTTCCAATCGAGATATGTCTCTTTTTTTTTTCTATTTGATTCGCGAAATGTTTTGATATGAAGGTGCATGTATTGTCAGTGGCGGAGTATGCCAAAAAAAAATATAGGTGGGTCGAACACGCGAGACATATAAATCATCATACATCAAAGTAGCAGTTAAACAAAGTTAACACCATTGAATTATCATATATAAAAGATAGGAACAATTTTGTTTTTACCACTAGTTTGATATCCAATATTAATTTTACCCCTATTTTTTAGGGTTTTTGTTTTTACCTCAGTTTTTCCAAAACGAACCAGCCGTTTATTCCTGTTTTTAACGGAAGTGAGCGGAGCTGGAGTTATTGCGGTAAAGAAATAGAAAAGAAGAATAAATTATATATTTTGCAAAATATGTAGTGACCTTTGTTCCTCCTGGTTATTTTGCAAATGTTTGGTTGTATCGCCCCGAGAACCGCTGCTTCCTCTCCCCGATCCCCATCTCAAACAGTAGAAAGTGAGGTGGCGGCAGCGGCGGCGGCGGTGACCTGGTCGGGCGATGGCGACGGGGAGCAAGCGGCGTCGGAGGGTCGGCCAGGCGGCGGGAGCAGCAGCCGTCGTCGGCGACCCGACCAGGCGGCGGCGACCTGAACAAGCCACGAGGAGCAAGAGGCCGCCATGGCTGAGAGGAGCAGCCGTCGTCGGCGACCTAACCAGGCGGCCGCCACAGGCTCGCACTCAGCCTCGCTGCTGCCGCCCGTTCTGCTTGAGCTCATTCTTTAGATTGTCGTTGTAGAACAGAATCACTTCTGTCTAGGATAGGATCCATTGTGATTGCTGCACTGCCGCACTGGTGGCTAATGATTGTTCATTCATTCTTTTTTTTTACATATAGTAAAAAAATTGAAATGCTGCCAAAATTATCAAAATCCTGAATCTGATCATGCCACTATTATGTTGATATTCTATCCAAATTATTATATTAGTCAAAGATTGTCAAAATCATTTGATTTTCGAAATGTTCCGAGCCACATGTATAATATAGGGATAAAAACACAATGAATGATGGTTGCAAATGTGCAACAATAAGTGAGGGTATAAACGTCATTTTGCCAATAACTTAACCATATAAAGTAAAGGTAAAATGTGCTTTCGTTTTGAAAAACAGGGAAAAAACGAAAACCCTAAAAAAGAAGGGCAAAATTAATATTGGATGTAAAAGTAGGGGTAAGAATGAAATTGCCCCTAAAAGATATTATGAGAGCTGAGAACATTTGGAGGCATAGGTAAGTCCATATTCCAAGTTTTCAAGGCCTGGAATGTCTTCTTAATTGTATCAACACGAAGTCCTCGAAATATCTCATTTTCAACATAGCACAACATCAAGTCATTGAGCCACTCATCTGACATCCTATTGCACAAATATGTCTTATTATGTTCATAGCTGAGAAAGCTCTTTCAACAGATGCGGTTGCCACAGATAAAAGCAATGCTAACTCAATTAGACGTTAGACTAATGGAAAAGTCACGTTCTTCTCAGTTTCTACTATCTTAATGGCCAAACTTCCAAAATAATGGCAGCCAACAAAATCATCAATTCTTGGAACATGTAGAATGAAGGTCTCAAGTTGATCCCTTATATTAGAAGGATCAGCATTTGAGAAATCTTGATCATATATTTCAGTCAAGCGAGCAATCTTATCAATATCAAACTTAGAGAATGGGTCCTTGGATCAATAGAAGAAAAGCTAACTAGTAGCTCTGATGAGATACCTCATTGAAGCGATGATTCATCTCAGTGATAATAGCATCAAGAGCTGCAAAGAAAGTGTCAAGACGCTAATAATGCTCTTGAGTGATTAAGTTCCCTTGCATTCTTGATCGACCAAATCTTGGTATTGGCTCATCCATATTTGGCACTGGAATCTTTTTTTTTTTGCATCACAAAATGACTAATTACCTCTTCAAATAATGGCTGCCAAGCATCATTTCTCAAATTGACCAAACGTGTCTTCACATCAACAAGCAATGACATGGCTTGAACAATAATGTACTATATATTCATTTAAAAAAAACTGTTCGTTCATTCTAATTTGGGTCCTACCACAAGCAGTCCCCCTTCTGCATTGATCATGCATTTATTTTGAGATTTATTATTGTGAACCCTCCATGTTTTTTCCTTACTGTGATTTGTAAACTTGGCCGATTTGAAGGTGCCCCTCAAGCAATGTGTCCCCGACATGTTTGCGGTGTCCACCTTCTTCGTGAGGGGCAACGGCGCATTGACTCACTTCTAGACGTATCGATGGATTGAGGGTCACTTAGTGGCCTCCTTAATACCGGACCTTCTCCTTATCGTTTTCCCACGTCTTTGGGCCTCGCTGACGGTTGCTTCTGGCCTTGCCGAAAACTCATGGGTTAGGGACATCCGTGGCGCTCTCACAGTCCCTGTCCTCTCCCCCGGGACTCTCGCCCTACGGATGAACAAGATGGAGCTACAACATAAGACATACAAAGTATATACTACTCAAAGAACATATATTCAATAAAGAAATATATAAACCGTGAGCATAAATAAATAAAGAAGATAATTCTATTAATTCAACTATAGTCTTACACAAAGAGGAAAGTACTAGAGACATACTCAAAACTCCGAGAAGACTATGGGACCGAAGCTCCTAAGCTTTATTCATACTAAAAACTATAGAGAATACAAAGTGGAAGAGTGAATTGCTCCTTTAGGTGTGTGTTGTGAAGTGAAATGAGCTCCTCTATTTATAGCCTCCGAATGATGGTAGTTAAGTCGGTTGTAGGTCAGGAAACGGGCATAACTGCTAGCAAGAGTGAAGGAGGAGTCGCCACGTGGAAGCTCAGTGGCGGGGCTAGCAAGCCTAGTTCGGCTGAACCATGGCCACCACCTTTCGCCATCGCCTTTGATTAGAGGATGACATGTGGGCCCCTATGACGGTTCCCGGTTGTTTGTTCCCATTCTAAGTCGGTTTGCATTGACTTGTGGGCCCATCAATCCTCGTACTAGCATGTGATTCGCCGGAAGTGTGTTTCTTCGTATGCCGGCTTCATTTCCTCTTCACTTTAGTGTATAATTCTTGCATCCAAGTTAATTCACTAATCCTAATACAACTACATTATTTATTATTGATATACGTGTAAGAAATGCTAATTTTCCCTTTATTCATTGTGCTAGTTAGTGGTCGAAATTGGTACGTAATGACCATCAACACAGTGGTGAGGACAACGGCTTGGGCTAGGGGGCGTAGCTATGATGAGTGAACTAGCCCTAAACTAGATCGGTCTTAATCTAGTCAAACCACCTCCTTGAAGAGTATCTATTTGACAACGTCACAGATGGTAACCATCGGTGACAGTCTATAGAGGGACACCGTCACGGATGGTAGCAAAATTCTATCTTCCTATATAGTTGGTACCCACTAAGAGGTATTTACTCCTATAAAGCAATACATGCAAGAAGCCACATCATCAATAATTTTAAGCCATCAGATGATATTAGTACACAGATAACAACCGTTGGATCAAGAAGCTACTTATTCATCAAATTCAATCATTTATTAGTTATCCATTCACCTCCCTTTGCTTCACCTCATAGTCACACATAGCACCATTACATATTTTGTGCATAACACCATTTTTTCTTAATACAACTCAAATTATTGTTTAATATGTGTGTTCTGTTTTATTATGCAAGATATAAAGATAGCATATAATTATTAGGTATCGTTATCTGAATCCATTTTCAGAAAAAACTTGAGTGAAGTAGAGAGATGCAAATTGTAACTACAATGATACCCATATTGAGTATGAAAATAATATTCATATATTATAACAATACATAATGATGCTTGGAAAAATAAAGCATGAATTGTATTGTAATAACATAAGTCATATATAAATCCATATTATCATATATTTTGTATATACATAGAGTCGCACCTAACCATTTAAAACCATGATTTCGTTTGACGATAAAACTACAAAACCCGCGGTAAAGACGTGGGGTGCCAACTAGTTGTACTAAATGATTGAAGCTTCGCAACAATAGCAAATCAAAATAATACAAAGGCTTCAATTACGAGGATAGGCCTTCAATGTGATCTGAACAAACATACGCCACGTCTTCTTTAGTGTCATCGTCTAGGTCTATGTGTGAATCAACATGGAGGTTTATGCTGTAATCGTCCTTATCGCCGATATTGTCAACCCCAACAATCATTCTTTTGTCATTCCTAAAGATGCGCAGCTTCTTGTTTGCACAACCTATTTTGCAAGTACAAATGGTTCATCCACGTAACTAATCCTGCTTAGATCCAAATTTGTCAAACCTTCCTAATTGACTTTTACTCCAGTGCATAAATTGACCCAGCGGCAACAAAACAATGAGACTTTGAACTTCGTGTAGTTCAGCTCACAGATCAGCTTTATGCGGCTGTAGTTTGGGTTGGACCCAAGTTGATCCAGAAATGCCTATATACGAACCCCGCTGTTTTATAATCTTGTTTGACGGTGTAAAGTGTGTATCCATTAATATCGTATCGCTGCCATGTGTCAATATCCAAAAACAGTCCTACTGGAAACCATGTTAATGTTTCGCTTACGCCTTCTGTCAATGTTGCAATATGATTCTTAAACCATTCGTTGAAATGGGAGTTATGGTTCTTATTGATCCAGTTATCTGATCGACTCATGTTCTCCTGCTGGATCTTCATTACATGTTCTTCAAAGTATGGCGTAACTTCTATCATATTTTGGAGCATAGAGAAATAGGCCTACTCATAGGCTAGTTGGGCCTGCTATATTCTTTTTTTGCCTACTGTGCCGACATCAGATAACCTTCCTTCATGACGAGATGTTAGAACTCAAACATGTAATCAATGTAGAACTCAATAACCTGCTATGTCATGTAACATTCAATGATGCTCCTCTTCGCTTTAGCTCTATTCCTAACATACGATTT